TACAGCCAATTTTGAAAGAGATGTACCCTAGCTCAGAAAAATGTTATTGAATAGGTTAATGCTGTTGTAATGAAATGCTTCTTCTAATTAAAAAAAAAAAAGAATCACAAAGTGGGAAAAAATATAAAACAAAACAAAAACAAGCAAACAACTCCCCCCCACCAACACACAAAACTTGAGAATGAGTTAGCAGTGACAATGAAGACAAGGGCTGGAAATACAGCTCAGAGCGAGACACCTACATAGCAGCAAGAGGCCTTGGTTCCAATGTTTAATACTAGAAGGGGAAAAAGACAAAACACCATATACCGATTGGAACCAAATCTCATGCTGAATCTGATGCAAACAGTAAAGACTGGGGTAGAGGACAGAACTAAAGAATATATGTTGTACGGGATAGTCTGAAAGCATTATTCATAAAGCTTAAAAATGAGATAGATAACTATTTGTAATTGCTGATTCTGCCTTGGGAGAAGATAAGAGTCTTCATGGCACGCATTACTGCCTTATTATGCAGAGTCCAGTACATTTTTATAGTTTGCACAGGGAAAGATTGTCGACGAGGGGAGGACAGGGATTTATACACTAAGTTCTAAATAAGGAAATCAGGCCCAGAGACTAACTTTGTAAGTAAATTATGACTTTTAATATTATATGCTAATATTTTAAAGCTTGAAGCCTCAAAGAACTAAAACTTGTACCTGTCCATTCACATAATTAATGAGTATTTTAATAAGTGGAAATTTAAGACTGTTAAGCTCAAAAGCACCACAACTATATACACAAGAATAACCGGTCTTGTCTTTTCAGCCAGGCCCAATTTGAATCTATTATTTTCTTCTAGATCAGCGATTCCCAATCTTGGCTTCACATTAGCATCACCTGAGAAGAATTACAATTTCTTGGATCCTCAACTGAGATGAAATGAGACAGACTCTTTGAGGTATAAAGCTCAGGTTTCCAAATGTTTCTGAGGCTCAGCAGGAGATAAGACTTCTGCTCTAGAATCTAGATCAGTACTGTCAAATAGAATTTTCAGTGAAAATGGAAATTTCTCTCCCTGTTCTCTACACATAGGTGTGTATATACATGCATATGTGCATGCTTTCAAATACAGAGACCACTAGATACATGTGGCTGCGAGTACGAGTGAAGAAATGAAATTTAACTTTCATTTCATTTGAATTGTATTTAAACAGCTACATGTCCTAGTGGCTGTCGTACTAGGCAGTGCAGTTCAGGATCAATTAGTTTCTTCATATGTACTGCCACCACACAAGAACTCCCATACTACCCACTGCCTCTATCAAAAGAAAGGAAATGTAATTCATAATATAGTTTGTTTAGTTTCAGAAGATGAGCTCTTTAAAAAAACCTGAAAAAGATGTAGAATATTACACAAATGGTGAAAGTGCAGAAAATAAGTGACTGTGGGATGCCCAGCCACAACTGGTACATCTACAATACAATGTCTATACGGAAGGCTCAAGGATATCACAGAAGAGGGGACAGAAACATTTTAAGAACCAGAGGAACAGGATGCCTGCTGCTAGATAGTTTCTTCTAGACATAACAAGCTGCACCCATGAAATCTCAACAATTTGGTTGCCTAAATAAAACCTTCCTAAGGATACCAGTTGACACACCAAAGTGTATGGGAAAAATTTTACACCTCCAAATCACTAGATAGAGAGCTAGCAACAATCAATCAATGGCTGCTGAAATAGAGAATCAATTTTCTCCGGGGACAAGCCATCTGATACATTACCCATCCCAAGTGGTCAGCCATAAACACTTAGACATGATGTCTACACTAAATGTGTATTTATACACATACACACATACACACACACGCACACACACATACATCAGTAAATAAAAGGGGTCATGAATTTGAGAGAGAATGAGGGAGACATGGGAAGATTTGTAGTGTGGAGAAGGAGGGGGAGAAATCACATAAATACAGTAAGTCATGTGTGAAATCTGCGAGAAAAATAAAAAAATTCATTTAAAATAAAAAACACAGCTGGCGTGGTGGTGCACACCTTTAGTCCTAGCACTCAGGAGGCAGAGGCAGGTGTATCTCTGCAAGTTCAAGGCCAGCCTGGAACATAGTGAGTTCCAGGCCAGCTGCAGCTATGGGAGACCCTGTCTCAAAAAGACCAATAATAATAATAATAATTTTAAAAAAACAAAACTTTTAGTTTTACTTACAACATAGTCAGTAGTAAGGGATCTTAATTTATGATTAAATTTTCAACCATTTATTAAGCATTTAATATATGTCAATTACTATGCCAAGCATCATCCTATTCAAAGATAAAGACAAGATCTGTCCTCACAGTGGTTAAATTTTATGCTCAAAGCCTAGCAAAGGGTCACTGTTATTAAATGTTTGATGAAAAAATAAAAATCTATGAACAGCAGAATGTCAAAACCAGAACTGCAGCAATAGTTACAGATGCACTAGAGAAAATGTGGATGGAGATAAACATGTAAGAATGCTGGGACAGCCGGGCATGATGGCACATGCCTTTAATCCCAGCACTCAGGAGGCAGAGACAGGGAGATATCTGTGAGTTCAAAGCCAGCCTGGTCTACATTGTGACCAGCTGGGGCTACAGGGAGACCCTGTCTCCAAAAGACAAAAAAAAAAAAAAAAAAAAAAAAAAAAAAAAAAAAAAGAATGCTGGAACACAGATTCTTACTCACTAGGAATGAACTGTTTTCAGGAACAGTGATGTAAGACAACAGAAGAAAAACAAGTATTTGTCACTTGCACCAATGATTTAAAAGTAACTACAGGCGTAAGAATGAATATCACCACTGACTTTATAGGTTTTGAGAACTGAACTGTAATAAAACAAAGCTAGAGCTTGCATAAGCAAAGTGCACAGTGACCATCAAGGTGGAAGTCAAAGCAGAGCATGTAAAGAAAAAAGAGAAAACCCTGTGCTGGGCACCATGAAAAGCTTCTGAGCATAAGCTGCTTTAAAAGCCATCAACTCCTGAGGATGGAAGAACAATCATACTTTCAAGATGTGGAAAAAGCTGAAAGCAGTTAGGTGAATCATACAGGCTAAACACTCCGTACATGGCAGCAGTAACCGTCTGCTCTGCTTCTACCTCTGCAAATGGAATCCTCTTACTTTGCTTGGTTTCTTATTCTCAAATTTTACTTGGCAAGTGAACTATGAAGAAACAAATGAATACAGTTAACTCCTGCCCTGCTAGACTATAAATCTCTTCATAGAGAGTGGCTCAACACTTTCCTTTTCCTACCCATTCCCCTTATAATGTCTTAAAATAATCACACAAGAAATACTTGGTAGATGAGATATCAGAACATCAAAAAGCTGACATTTTTAATAAGTCCTGTTGGAAATCTGAACTATCCTAAATGATTTAGCAGTGTGATTAATAGTGTGATGTATATCTAATAACAGAAAACTAAACATTATTATAAAAGAAGACCTTTCTAGTACCTTGATATGTTTTACACCACAGCTGACAAGCTTATTTGGCTGGTACAAATCCCAAGATATATCAAATACCTGTAAACAAATCAGATTAATGGTCAAAACATTTCAGTATCATTTAAGAATCCTGTCCAAACTATTAGAAACTACAACAGCTTCAACAGTCATTAGAATCTTACATCTTTCCTATGAGAAAAATGTAAATATGAAAATAAGGAATAAAGGTAATTTCTTAGTTTTGGTAAACTTTAGGAAGCAATTGTTTTTATTGGTCTTTTTGAGACAGGGTCTCCCTGTAGCCCCAGCTGACCTGGAACTCACTGTTTAGACCAGGCTGTACTCACAGAGATACGCCTGCCTCTGTCTCCCAAGAGTACACCACCACACCCAGCTTAGGAAGCAACTTATACAGTAAAACTTAACATTTCTATATATTTTCAATTTTAAAGAAATTTGGCCAATAAATAACATGAACCATTCAAAAGAACTAGGGCACGAGGTAGGACATAATTTTTATGGGGGCAAAATCCCAAATGGAATGTATACTTAACACTTACAGAAGTGAGAAGGAAAGAACACTGTTATTGCTTTCTATCACAGAACTATTTTCATAAACTATCCAAATTTCACAGCAATTTTCATGTTTCATTTTTTAGCTTTCTCATTGCTCATGGGTCAAAAAGAATTAGCTTATACATACTTAAATTTTGGCATCCCTATGCTTTGTTCATATCTAATATACTATATTCCAAATACACACAAACTTCTTACAACAAAAACTTAGGTGAAGTTAAATATACATTAGAAACACATAATTAAGTAATATGTGAAATAAAGACTACCATTTGAAAAATAATTTACTTACTCTGTTATATGGTGATCTAAGTTTCTCTGATCACTGCATAATCTAATCTAAGAAGTATGCTATCTCTAAAAATTTACAAAGTGTACTCTTTAATGATAATGGAGAAAGAATACATCCTATAAGATTATGCTTAACAACTCACCATAACAGACATTATGTGAAAAAACATCAATACAAATTAAAAATACTAACCATGAAAGCTTCTTAAAATTCGTATCATTCAACATCATTTTTTTATAATTGGTCTACTAAATCCAAAGTATTAATGTCTGAAGTACTTTGATCCAAGTAAGTTAGAACTCCATTATCCAATAAAATATATATAGTATTTTAATAGTTATCTAAATTGTGTGAGTGACCATGTAATGGTCTCCTTAAAGAATCTGCAGAAACCAAGTATATTCTCCAAAATGCAATACATGCAAATGTCCTGTATAAAATTTATAGATTCTTACAAACTAGCATCATAGACTATCACTCTATGCTTGTTCAGTTAGAATCTTACCATACAAAAAAATAGATATTTTAAGAGTTTATACAAATTTTGGTTTTGGTTTAGATTTATAAAAGCACAATATTTAATTAAAAATCTGATTACAAAGTGTTCTTTA